TTCAACTGCTCCGCAACATCATAGATTTGAAAGTTGAAGGCAAGACATGCATAAGCTGATCTCAAGACTCCAGCATTCACTTGCCATACTGCTAAGTGTTCAGTGACTTTTTCGGCCTCAAAAATAGGATTTTTCAACAATTTAAAAATAAATTGGTTAATACTAAGACCAAGCCACTTATTTCAGAGAAAATACGATTCTAACGCTGAGTAAAAGGAGGATAATAATACAAATATTGACTACCCTGGTCCCCTGCACAAAGACTTTATACATTTTTATCAAGATGACAAATACAGCATACAATCTATTTGTTCGCTGGAAATCCATGCCTCATCCGATTGTTCATCGGCTGCAGAACTCGTCTCATCGACCGTGAAGCGACAAGGAAAGATTCTACTGTGGTTACCTTCGTCCTCATTGGACGGTACAAATGGCTTAGGGAAATCATGGGTTTCAACTATCATAGGAGGTGACGGCGATCGCGTCGACGGCAGAGTGCCTTCAGTACTATTTGACTCGTCTAAGCCGGCACCAAGCATTGCCTCATCGGTCTCATCCGTAATCTCAATGGACAGCTCGTCAATGAGTCCTGGTTTGGAATCTGAAGAGTCAAAATCGACGCCAGGACAGGTTCGTTTGTCATGGACGAGGTTGTCGGATAGGTCCACTGCATTTTCCATAGGTCCAAGAAGTTCGGAGTTGAACAGATTATCATAAGGCTCTGAGGGCGCCTGGCATAGATCGCATCTTAGAATATTAAAAAGAAGAGAAGCATGGAGATATAAGATATGGAAGCAAGGAGATAACTAAGTTTGAACAAATGAAAATCTGTATATTACATATCATTTTATAGAGCAATTTTATTTAAGTTTTAGCTCAAATGGGGTAATACGAGTTCAATAAAGTACCTTAGGTGGAAATAAGGGCAATTAAAATGCGCATAAATGCCATGGACTCTTTCATTAGATTAGTATCGTTCGACCGCTGCACAGAAGCGGGAGTCAACCTGAAACCGTTGACTTTAGCCTGCTATTCAAAGTAATTAGATAAGTCTTTATCATGTAATTATCTACTAAAATTGAAGTTAAGAGAAGATCTATCTATTATTTCATCATTTAATCTGCCGTTTGTCCGGAAATCGCGCCATTATGAAAAGTTGACAGCAATTTTTAACTTTATCCTCCGGCTGTGGTATAAATTAACTATCAATACTTCATCATATTATCCGACCTATGGTGACTAGAATTTTTAAGCTTACTTCCATTTCAAATAAAAATGTTTGTTGAAGAGACTCGAAGGTCGATCCCACCACAAGACGACAGCTGATTCCTTTTGACCAGCTTTCGATTGGCTTTTCTAGAACATTCTTAGTGACGCTATTTCCGAGGTAATCTCCCTCGATTTCGGTGAAAACGTGCTAAGATTTGATCAAACTAATGACGCTTTTGTGCTAAGCCACCCTTGATCGAATGGAACAACAAGTCTCTCTAACACAAAAGCGACTACATAACACATTATTTTGTAGCAACCTGATCTGAATAATGGCTCCATTTTTTCTCTAAAAGTGGGCATAACTGAGGAAAGTGTCGTAGTTTCCCTGACAACCGTTTTTATTCCCCACTTCTTTACTTGTTCATCTCTCCTTTGAGAAAGAATGCACGAAGTTAAAGAAAAAACGTGAGGAAACGTGTCCTTATCTCCCCTTACGTATTCACCATTTAAGAAGTTATTCTTTATTAACCTAATGTTATTTTTAATTAAGTCTAGGAGATAATTATTCTCAAGCAATATTATTTTGAGCCGATCCAGTTCATTTTCACAACGGTCTCTATCGGCTAGTCTTATCATCCGAATAAGCACAGATTTAAGAACTCCAACCTTTGTTTTGTAACTATGATTGGAGAAAAAGTTAAGTATAAAGCCAGCATGTGTTGGCTTTTTATAGACATCCCTGCTTAACTTCTCACCTGTTCTGATCACTAAAACATCTAAAAGAGGTAAATTATTGTTCATCTCCATCTGCATTCTCAACTTAACATTGCAGTCAATCTGGTTAATTAAAAACAAGAAATTATTTAACCTATCCTTTCCATGCTGCCATGTGGAAAAGTAGTCATCCATGTATCTAACTAACAGTCTTACCTCTTCCATGAAGTTTTCCTCCGTTCTTGACACGTAATTATTAGCTAAACTGGGAGCCAAGCAGGATCGCATTGCTAGGCCCTGCATCTGTTCATAAACCTTATTACTAAAAGTAAAGTATGTGCTGCTCATGGATAAATTAAGAAGTCTTAAGATTGAACTTATGATCAGGGTTGCTTCCTCAATAATTTCTGAGTGCTAGTTCTTTAATAGCCTACAGAACTGTGATGATGGCATACATTTATACCATATCGAAACTCATAAAAAGCTCATCCTCTTTAATACTCTGTTGAACTATCAATCTAACAAATTCATATGAATTCTTCACTCAAGATTTCCAATATTCAGCCACTTGCCCTGATTGTCTAAATAAGAAACGTGAAATCCTATGCTTCACACTTCCCTTATTATTAACACTTAATCTTAAAGGGACACCCTCCTTGTGTATTTTTGGAAGGCCGAAAACAGAAGGTGCCCTAGCATCCCTTTGAAGAAGTGAATTCATTTGCCATTTCTAAATTTCTCCTTTGCTTTAACAAATGTCAAGTGATTCCCTAAGCCTGGCCTTAAGATTCTCTTTGGGATCCTTTACTAAAAGTCGGTATGTTTCTGAGCCACTTAGATGAGCCACTATTTTTTCTCTATAACTTAACCTATACATGATGAAAACTGCCCCTCCTTTATCTGCCTTTAAAACAAACAAATCATTTGGGTGCAAATATCTAGAAATCTTATTCAAGTCATACGATTTATTTTAAATAATTACCTGGTCAAAATAAAAGATCACTCTTCTTAGCCTCTTCTTGCAGTTTGTCTGTTAAGGTAATTAATTCAAACAGTATCTCCATAGAGTGATTTTGCTCGTTTGGATAGTGAAAGTTTAGCTTAACATTATCATCTATATTGATGATGTGAAGACCAAGATGTTGTGGCCTCGGGTATGGTCGCAGTCTCCTTTCGACTTATAGAAGTGGGT